TTTTTTTTTTTTTTTGATACTAAGGATTGAACCCAGGGGTGTTTTACTACTGACCTACATCATTCCCAACCATTTTTATTTTTTTTTTTTTTGAGACAGTTGCTCAGGTTGGTCTCAAATTTATGCCCTCCTGCCTCAGCCTCCTGAGTCCCTGGGATTACAGGCATATGCCACAGCTCCTGGCTCTTGGAGGGGATTGATTTATACAATTCAGCTCCTTCTCTATGTCAGACTCTGTGCTCAGGGCTCGGAACACAGTTGTGAGTAACATACAAGCCTGTCTTTGAAGAAACCTAGAGTCTTAAAAGGGGAAAACAGACATGCACAACATACAGGCCTGGCACAGGGTACAGGGATGAGGCTGGGGCTGAGTGGAAAGTCACAAAATGGGCTGTCACAAGCCATCCGTGGGCTGTGTGTGGACTATGTTGCACATTGTACCTAATGAGGGGATAAGTCTGGCATTGGGAACCTCCCATGTCACCTTCACAGGGATTGATCGCCTGATACAGGTGAACTTCCCCCTCAAGCTCTGCCAAAGATCCCATACAGCACCTGAAATGGGTGTGACTTGAGAAGGTGCCAATCAACCTGCTGACTACTAGACATCATGAAGCAAGACTACGCCCTGGAAACCTTATCCCTGCCTTTGATGTACCCCCTCACATAAACCACCAGAACCATCTTTTCTTTGTCTAGTTCCAGCACCCATGTGGACTAGATCTACCAGGGCTTCACTTTTGTAAATATATCTCTGGCCATTTGTGTTTTGTTATTCACTAATTATTTGAGATTTTTATAAGTTTTATGGGAAGGAAGAAGAATGCCCCAGTGAGACACTGGTCATTGCCCCTATTAATGGGACTCTAGTTTCCACAATGAAATACTGGTATCAGGGATTGGAGAAGAATATCTAACATTTGTGCCACCTTTGAATTCCTCCTATTAAATATATGATGGATTGGCTTCTCTCCAAGCCTCTCTCCGTCTAAGATTCTTGGGCTCCTGGCCTGTGTCTATGGCTTTCCCACTGTGGCACAACTTCCCAAGGGTGTAAGGGGGTGGCACTCTAACGTGCCTTTATTACAATACTATGGCCCACAACAAAGCTATGCCCAAGTTCATGTTGAGGGTGGTGGCTGGGGCCCGTTCAGATCTCCAGGAACTAATGAGAGACTCTTAGAGGAGAGAAAGGGTGTCAGAAAGAAGTAGGTCTCTTGTGGTTCTTGGCTTCTTAGTAGTGAACAGTAGTGACCAGCAGTCTACCAGATCTCTTTGGGTACTGGGGACTAAACCCTGGGTGCTTAACCACTGAACATCCCCAGCCGTTTGTATATTTTTCATTTTGAGATATGGTCTCACAAGTTGCTAAAGCTTTCCTTGAACTTGTGATCCTCCTGCCTCAACCTCCTCAGTTGCTGGGACTACAAGTGTGTGACACTGCACTGGGCCCAGGAAGTACAGTTTTGAAGGAATAGAGTGGGCTCTCTAACTGGTAGTGATTTTCATGCTTTTTAAAAAAATCCTACTGCCCCTTGGGTATGTGAGAACCCCATCCTACTCTCTTTCTATATAGTGGTGCTATATGCAAACACATACCCAGGAAAACCCCAAACATCTCTCTCTAGGTGAGATATTTATGTGTTTCTCTTTCTACAAAAAAATTACCTGGGGTTAATCATAGAACAAAGGATATTTTGAAACCACTTCTGATAACTTTGTTTTGTTTTAAATGCAGTGTTGCTTGGTGAATATAATTGTTGGGGGCCTGGGATCTGGAGATGACCTAGATCCAAAGACCTTGGGCACATCACTTTGGGCCTTGATGTCTTCTTCTTTTTCTCTCTCTCTTTCTTTTCTTTTCTTTCTTTCTTTCTTTCTTCATTTCTTTCTTTCTTTCTTTCTTTCGTTCTTCATTTCTTTCTTTCTTTCTTATCCAACCAGTGCCTCATGCATGCTAGTTGAGCCCTCTACCACTGAGCCACAACCCCAGCTCCTGGCCTGGATGTCTTAAACTGTAAAGTGGGATAGTAACAGCACTACTTATAGTAGGGTTGTTAAGAGGGTTAAGTGCATCCATAGGTAAAAGAGCTCAACAATGCCTTGCATAAGTGCTCAATCAGTAGTAGCCATGGTGATTCATATTACAATGTTCAGTAAGTATTTGTTGGGCAAATAAGACCATTTTTCATTTTGGTTGCATTCAGGACAAAGTTGTAGGAAAATTAGATCCTCCTGACAAGCTTCTCTAGGGTAACTTTGGTAGGATGTGGGGATGGAGTCTGGGTGGCTCAGGATAGTCTGAAGGTCTCCTTTAAAAAAATCAAACTTTCTTGGGGTTAGGGTTTCAGTGGTAGAGCGTTTTCCTATCCCATGAGCGGCCCAGGGTTCTGTCCCCAGCACTGGAAAAATAAGTGACTTCCTGAGCTGGTGCGGACTCAGGTTGTTACGGCGGCCGCCAGCAGGGGGATCCCAAGTCTCCATAGAGAAGGCTCCTTCCCGCGACAGGAAGGGAATTAAATCCGACAAAAATCCGACAGAGCTCCTACTGTGTGCAGTACACATGCCAGGCGCTGGGGGCGCCGTAACGTCAGGATGGCGTGGAAATCGAGGGTGCGGGTCCGCAGTGAACCTATGCAGAAATGGGCCAGACTCTCTGAGCGCGAGAGCCCCTTTGCTGCTGTGCTGCTTAGGTTTGGGTCTTGGAGGAGCCTGGGCTGCTGATAATTCAGAACCGAGGACGATCCCCAGGTCAGGTTCTGGAGTTGATGTTGACCTGCTCTGGAAGAGTGCCACTGAGAGCTCTGCTTCATCGCTGCGCCCCAGCACCCTGCTCAGAGCAAGCGCCCAGTTCTACTCACCTAGCGAAGTAAATAAAATTGTCTCCCCAGAAGACTCCTGCGGAGGCGTGAGCCCGAGGGACCCACTCACCCCATTGGAGGTGGAAAAAGTATCCACCTTCTTCTCTTAACCCACCCCTGCACAGACCCAGGAAGAGACAAATTTCCGGCCCCATTTTGGTCCAGAACTGGGGTGCCACGTGGGATCTGGCCTCAAAGGCGATGACATTCCTGATTCTGCTTCCAGCCACGCCCGAGTTTTCTTATCCACTACCCTGCGGTGGTGGGTGGGCAACTGAGAAAAGAGCTTATTCGGGAACGCAAGCATGTATATATGTGCGTGGGCACGCCACTATGTACTCGTGTAATAATTGTTTTCATAGATATTTTTAAATACCAAAGCTCCCGGGGCTGGGGATGTGGCTCAAGTGGTAGCGCGCTCGCCTGGCATGCCCGGGTTCGATCCTCAGCACCACATACATGTGTCCGCCAAAAACTGAAAAATAAATATTAAATAATTCTCTTCTCTT